TCATGAAGGATTCTCGACAGAATCCGAAACGTCAAGAAAATAAAACTCTTGTTCCGGTAGCCGCATTTTCTTCGATTTCGTAATAGTAGACATTGTTTTTTTAACTACTTTGGCATCAACTATTTCCCAAGTAAAACGCAGTCCGTCCACATTTAGCAATGGCCCCACTCCAGAAATTTTAGTTATTCATGCCGACTTATGGCCTTCGGCAATTAAGAGTCCCGTCCAATGTTCGTTAGACGCTATAGCTGCCCAGTACAACACATTTCATTCATGCATAAAAACGACCCGCATGGAATTCTCAGTACTTCACGCTGAATTATGACTTAAGCTTGAGTTTAGGTTTTGTTTACTTTTGTCTTCAATATACTTTTAATTTATTTTATTTTCACTTTCTGGTGACATGCGGCTGCTTTTTTGATTGAGAAGCTATTGTGCGTTTAAAAAAGGGGAAATAGGAAATCGATAAATGGTTTTGCTTTAATCTCTAAAATTCGATATAGAGTCGATATACTATTGTATCCAGTTCGCTAGTACTATCCGATAGAGAATCGATATGGAGTCGGTATAAGATTGCATCTAATTCACCAATACTATTGCGCAGTTATTTTTTTCCTATCGGTTGTACTTCCCATTTCAATTACCGCGCACCATACGATAGATCATTTAGTTCAGTATAGTTGAGTATATTTAGGGTAGTAGGCAATGCCTTTGAAGACCTATTGAAAGCAGTATGGAAAAAATGTCCAACATAAGATATTTTACTATAAAATAGTGAGTAACATATACATATGTACAAGTTTTATCTATAGGTTTGACCAATGCTTAGGTGACTACTGACAGTGCTTTCTTGTGCATGTGAACGGTATCTGTTAAGTAAATGTCCATCCAGTTTGCGTTTGAATGCATTTGTGGAGATCGCTATTACGACCTCCTTGAATAACTATTCCTTTTATTTTCTGCTTTTATGCGCTCTACTTTTTAATTTATTGTTGCTTACCCACGATATGACCCAGCCATATAACCCCTATTACTACCGGTCCCCTAAGACAGAATCCTGGGGTGCTGAGGGATTTCTTTGGTTGGCGCCCAACTTTAGTCTTGCTAATGCTTCATCCCCACATACCTCCGACTCCTCCTCCTCCTCTCTAGGTGATGGACCGAATCTGGAAGGATGAAGGCTTGAATCTGCACCTAACAACCTACGGTTGTCTAGCCACCGGTGACGAAGTGGGCCTCATCGAGGTGGTGCGCAACTCCCAGACCATCATGTCCATCCAGGGCCAACGCGTGCGTTCCGCCATGCAGATCGACTCCAGCCAACTGCATCG